ATGAAAGGTTCTTCAGACTAGGAAAAAACGATTGGACGTTTCCAAACCATTCCTTGGCATGCAATCACAAGTTTCCGAATCTAAACGATACGGAAATTCTGCACTATGCAAGGAAGGGTTGCAAGCTCAATTATTTAGAATCCTAGGAAACTTACAAGCATGAACATTGCGGGTCCAACCTGTTGAATGATCAAATCGATTTAATTTACTCTCCGGATTTTAACGTTAGTTACAATTGAAAGTGGTGAAAAACATAGAAATTTTCATTTCTCTTTTCAGTATGATCTCTTACCACGTAGTAACGGCTACATCCATCAATTTATAATTATAGGAAGGTCTATAGAAAGGTAATCAGGGCTGCAAAACACTTGTACTATAGTAACAGAATTAGAGAAAAAATGTGTATACAAACACAACAGATACATCCTTAAAGTCGGACCTTCTAAACAGCTATTTCTGCTCCGTCGCAAAAAAAATCAGTCAAAACATCATACCTCCTCAAGATCCCCTTGAGTATCTCAGTGATATCTATGTAGACAGTACCTTTTCATTACACCACATCAGTATGAAAGAATTGAAAGAGGTGATTGGAAACATAAAAAGTAAGAAAGCATCTGGTCTTGATGAAATTTTTGTTAAAATTCTCGAAAGTCTTCCTGAGTCTGCGCCCAATATACTTGTTGAACTGATTAACAACTCCTTCGAGCAAGAAACATTTCCTTTAATTCTCAAAACCTTGGTTGTCATTCTTCTCCATAAAGGCGTCAACAATGAAGACCCAGCAAACTTTAGGCCTATATCGCTCATCCCAACCATAGCAAAAATAATTGAAAAACTAGTAAAAAAAAATAATGGAATTTTTAACCAGTAATGGGATATTGAGTGCACATCAGCATGGCTTTCAGAATTTCAAGAGTACGAGTGAAGCTATATCAACAGTATTGCAATTGGTGTATAATGGAATCAACAGCGGGGAAGCCACTGCAGCAGTTCTTTGTGACTTATCCAAAGCTTTTGACTGTGTCAATCACAGCACATTGCTTCGGAAACTCACAAGATATGGTTTTAGGGACAACAGTCATATTTGGAATAGTTGATACCTTTCTAATAGAAATCAATTTGTAGGAACGTCATCTAACTCGGACGTTGAAGAGATAAATTGTGGAGTACTTCAAGGTTCTGTATTAGGTCCTACACTTTTTCTGTTATATATTAATGATTCCACAAACATATCGATTATAGAAATATTCAACTTATTTTTTGACGACACCACATTAGTGTGGCATGACAAGGACAAAAACAGATTGCTCAACAAAATGTGCCAAGACATGAAACAAGTGAAGAATTGGTTTGACTCGAATCTTTCATCACTGAATACCAGCATTCCCCCTAGACAATAACACAATAAAAAATATTTCCTCTTTGAAATTTTTGGGAATTTATTTAGATGAAAATTTAAAATTCTCTCAGCTTATTGCACGCATCAACAAAAAATTGGCATTAGGATGTTTCGCACTGAGAAACATCTCAAAGGAACTGGGGTTTGCTGCAGCGAAAGTAGCGTACTATGCCTTAATTGACTCTCATCTAAGGTATGGTATACCTTTTTGGGGTGTTTGCAGTAAACAACTAATGCAATCGGTTTTTGTCTTGCAGAAAAGGGCTACCAAGTACTTATATAAAGCGAAATGGTGGGATTCATGTAAACCTCTTTCGAGAAAATATAGTATTTTTCAATATTTATATTGGAAACTGTGAAAATTATACAAAAATATTGAGAAATATGTAAATCTGCAGCTTCAGCCACGTACCACACAAGGCGGTCAAATGAACTGAATCTACCAATTCGAAAAACATGTTTGGTTCAAAACTCGTTAATATATAATGGAATTAGGATATACAATAAACTTCCCAATGGAATCAAAGAGAATCCTTTTATCATATTCCGAAAGAAATGTACAAAACTATTAAGTGATAAAGCCTATTATGACCTACAAGAATATTTTGACGATGCTCTGTAATTTAGAATGTGTGGAAATTGCGATTGTACTGTATACCGGGGACTTCAGTTTCGGCTTGACTAGTGTAATTTGACAATTGATAACGGCCATCTTTTCGAAGCTACATCTGTCAAATTAGTTGTCATTCATTCAGCCTGTCTTGCCAAATCACCATGACGGATGAATCATTCAACAACACGTGCAAGTAATAAAATGTGGTGGATAAATTTGAGTCCACTGGTTTTGTAAACGGTTGACCAACACTCGTACGTCTACGAAAAGCAAGATCTGCCTAAAACTTCATCACTGACTGTCCGTGAGAGTGAGCGAAAGAATCTAAGGCAGTCGATTTCGCATCGGTCACAAGAATTCGGCATTTCGCAGACCATAACTCAAAACGACCATAGACTGCGACGTATATTTGCTGATTGTCGTTCTCTTTAACCCACCTCAGGATAATGTTATTATCTACCGAGTTTTTGGCTAAATCTTGGTGACACTCTAGTACTAGCCCTGAGGTTATACGTTGTCTGTTCAAGGCTAATAGGGCTTAACTGCTCTCATAGAAAGCGCCTAATGAAATACCCAATATTATACAAAATTGAGCAAGAAAACGAAATCAAAAATAATAACAAACAAATGAGGGTCCTTTTTTTGGGTCGGTATCAGCACTTGAGAATGGCTTTGCAGGCACAGAACTTCAAAAAATTGTAAGCTTCAAATTCGTTTGGAACTTACTGATGATTTCCTTTAGTGGGTTGATTCTTTGAATATACATCTTCAATTCCCTCCCCCCACTTTTATTTTTTGAAAGGGTTAACTCAAAATTGAAATTTGGGATAATGAAATTAATACATGAATACTTTATTTTGAAGGGAAATAGACAGATGAAACTTTCAAGATGGTGACTGGGCGCCATCTGGGCGCCCAGATGGAAAGGGGGGTCTTGTGATACATCTTTTTGAAGCTCCTGACAAATGCTTCACAACCCTAGAATATAGTGTCAATATTTTCAAATACTACAAAATGGCGAAACATTTAATAATTGCCTGAATACATTGACATTTAATTACATAATATGGGGTAATGAGCGTGAGACCTCTTGAGAAGATGCTCGAAATGGTTGCCTTGAACTTCTTGACATATGAAGAGCCTATCAGATATTTCACGCCAAACATTTTCGAACACAGTAACGTCAATATCTCTAAAAATCTTTATTATTCTCTGCCGTATATCCAATATTGAAGCAGGTTCAGTTTCGTTCACCTTGCTTCAAATATTTCCATGAAAAAGTCCAAATGTGTCAAATCTGGCGAGCGGGCTGGCCATTCTGTAGGACTTCGACGGCCAATCCAACGACCGGAAAAAGAAGTATCCAAATAGTTTCTTACTTGTCTGGAGTGGTGGTGCTCCATCTTGTTGGAATACAATATCCATATCGAATTCATTTCGACGATTTCAGTGATGAGAGGGTCAACAGTAGTTTCCGGCATCGATATTCAAATACAGTTCTCCTGTTGAATTTTCACCAATAAATAGAGGTCCTACAAACTGGTTTTCCGATATTCATGCCCAAACGTTATTTTTTTCTGGATATTGGTTATGTTTCTTGTTGTTGGTGCCACTCCAACAACGGTAACTTTGTCTGTGAACATTGCCGATTGAAAAAATGTACATTCGTCACTAAAACAAATATTGTGCTAGGTAGGATGCCTTGCAGTGGCTTCCGTCATGATTTCGCAGAATTAGGTTCTTCGAGCAGGGTCACCTTCTTCAGGTGGTTGGTGTACCATTTTAATTTTGTATAAATGATACCTATTCCTCTTCAAAAATCTCCACACAGTAGAACGAGACACCTCACAAACATTCGCGACGGAAAAAGTAGACTGTTCAGGATTCACTACCATCTCACCAATTATAATATGCACTTGCTGTTCTTCCTGAATGGACGGATGACCTGGGGGCTTTTTGTTATGTACACTACCGGTAGTTGTGAATTTGGATACAGGTTCCCTCAAATATTTTCTACAGATAGGACGATTCGGAAAACGTTTATTGAAAATCCTTTCGGTCTCGTGAAAGTAACGCGTCGCACCGGAAAAAGTATGCGTTGTTGAATGACGCCACATTTTAAACAGATAACAAAAATTTTAAGTGATTATAACTGTACCAATATCGGATTTCAACACTCAAATCGCGATCAGCACCTGAACTGAACATTAATGACACGACGGCGATAACCATCCCCGCATTCCCCGATTTATATTCGTCACCGTAATATAACTTCAAATTCAATTATATGACTCTTCAGCCAATCATAAAACTCGGGTAATAAAAATTATCCAATACTAACCTCCAATTCTACAGTCCACGTGGTCCACGTCCATGTACTGCTTTTTTGGCCTTTGAGAGTGCCGTCAACTTTGAGTGTGCACAATTTCGTTTACTTCGACTACACCACTCGTTAACGTTTTGATTCAGCGTACAATCACTGTATGCCACTGTCAACATTTCAAGAGTTTCTGAGCACCTACTTCCATACTTTACACAAAATTCGATGCAAAATTTTTGATGAAACTTCTTCAAAAGCAGAAAATCGCCGGACACGCAAAATACTTCTTACTTTCATACTTCTCACCAACAAACTGATAAATTCGAGACTAATGAACGAATATTGAAAAAAAAACAAAAAAATCGCTAATTGAGAGTTCGCATCATACAAAATTTGACAATTCACCTTAATTTTTGAACAGACCCCGTATATTCTTGTGTGAAAAAAAAAGGTAATGCCTGTTTTTCTTTAATTCAGGTCTATTATATGACAAGGAAGTTACCAACTTATGTGAAATCTAACACATTGTAAATACATTTTTTTGAAGAATGTATTTCAATAGATTTAAATTGTTAACCAGAGGTCCTAATTATAACCTCATTAAGTCGTCAAACACGACCGGTGCTATAATGACATGTTCCCCTTCCAGTGAAATCTAGTGAAACAAGACACCTTTGTACTATCGTCAGATGAATACAAATCAGCCACGGTATCGGAAGTCTTAAAAAGAGATCACTAGAAGGCCGCTTCAGAAAAGAATTGTTCAGCGATACTCGAGTCCATTCTTCAAGAGAGAGTTGCGCCTCCAGTACAGTAATCTCGGTTTTAGCTGTTACATACTTGAGTAACGGCTGTACCAGATTAGGTCTTGTGAAATTGTGCCACGGATTTATATAATTCTGGAAAATGAAGATTGTTCTGGCGGTTTTGTGTGTGGTTTCTTACGTTTTGGCCACCGAAGTTAGGCAGTGCCCGAATTTGGGTGAGTAAAGACTTTTCATGGTAGAAATTTAAAAATACTGAGCCATATTTCACATGTAGTGTCAGTGAATTGAAAACAAATATAGAAACTGAATTTCAACCATTAAATTGTATTGACAGAGAAGACCAAATTTTTGGATTCAATGTAAATAGTAGAAACACCTGTTGATAATTTAAGTGCGAAGTACAAAAAATTTGCCTGCTTGAACGTTTTGATTTATTAACGGAAAAAACCTTTCTGAATGAGTGCTTATAGATAAAAAAACAACGGATAGGTACCTCAATTCCCATTTAAATCATCAATAGCCAATGGTCTGGTTTGAGAATGATATGAGTTTAAATTTCAAATTCATAATGACTTATCTTGTACCATAAAATAGGTAAGCAAAACCCACTTTGTTCAGCTCTTTTCAGCACCAATCGATATCTTCAAAATACAATTTTCAAATGAGAAAATATTGATTTTTCATGAAAGAAATGAATTGGCGACTGTTATTCACGAACTACATGAAAATAGCATATATGTACTTTTCCACTACCCCCAAGAATTCATGAACACCCTTTTCCACTGTGGTGTGAAGTTTGAGATTATCTATACATATGAAATGAAAGGGTGGCTTCGCTCCCTCTGGCCTCTGAAAGTGTCGTAGTAGTATCCATAAGTACTTCACAAAGGAGAAGGTGATAGCATTAATCATCTACAGAAAAGAATAAAGCTGAGAGAATCACTCTGAAACACACCTTCTTTCTGAAAGTTACCGACCATGTCAAGATGCCTGTGAACAGCAGGGGACACGAGATCAATATTTTGCATATAGCCCACCGAATTCGTGTTTTCTCACTGCCTCTCTTAGCTTGCATCTTCTATAGAAACTATTCTAGTTTACGATCAGAACAGAGAAGATTTTATCTTTGTGAACGAGTGCTTTGAATCTGGTGATGTTTATGTGCTAGATGTCACTCAGTGACAGTGAAGTGTTATCCATTACTACTACGGATCCCTGCGGAAATTTCACGAGTATGATTTCAAACCATTCTTCGAATACTATGGCATCCATTTCTTGATGATAATCCCCATTTTTCTTCGATTCAAACACCATCAATTCATCTTTCACGAATCCTTCACTGCTGACTATGTGAGTAATGATAGGGATCCAAATAACAGAGTAATCCTAGTTTCTTTATCCGTTTCTGAAGAGTTTTGTCACAGCAGCTCACGTTATGGCCGGAAATTTCAATCAATCAATTTCTTCCCTAAGATTTTAATTAAAGAAATCTCATTGCTTTTGTAACAGTCGTATATAGTTTTCTTTACTCGAAACCAATTTTGATATGTAGATTCTCAAATACATTGAAACATACTCTGTATTTCAATATTCAAATGCATCCGAATCTCATTCACTGGTATCTCTTTTTCGCATTGTTCTCCAGCGCTATTGGAATCACTACACAGGAAAAAGTCTGCGTTGTTATCACACTCGTTATTACTATTAGCTGAATAACGGAAAAACAGATTTTAAATAACAAAAATTTATCAATATCGAATTTCAATACTCATATCGCGATCAGTTCCTGAACTGAACATTGACGACACAACGGACCTGCAAACTTCGTACCTCTTTGGAAATAATTGATGTTGTGTCGCGACATGATATTATCTTTTCTAAATTGTGTTTGTGAAGCACAAAGTCGGGTAATACTAACACCGTCAGTGTTTCCAAGTTATTCTCATGCTCAGAGTAGGTTTAATATAAGGAATGATTGCTGAATTTGTAAAAAAAAAACAGTAGGAGATATACTTGGTGATTTCTGATACATTCTTGGTGATTTCTACTATTTACAATAATTTAATAATCGTTATATATTTAAACTTGCAGACAGTATTGACATTAGTTTGAATGTCAAAACAGGAAATCCACTGAAAAGACAGTAGACCTGACAACGCTGAACACGAACGACACTTCTCTCGTACGATTTCTTCTTCAACTGCAGCGGATTGATTCGTAAAATTTCGCAGTTGAATTGCATTTCAGCTTAGTGGAAGCCTGACGACCGATGAAAATTGGTTCAGCCGGTTTTGAGATTTAAATGGTGTTACCAATACAATTTTGCGTCCCTGTTTTAAATTTTGGATAGACATTGCTTTGTAGTTATTTTCTCTCTGTTTTTCTTTGGAAGTATTCCTCATTTTCGTTTAATGATGGGAAGTGCAGTGGTTAGTGAAGATGAATGGCCATCAAAAATATGATCAACTACTCCCCTGTCTAATACGTTGGATTATATCCGGCGTGTCAGTGCAGGATTCTTCACTGAAGTTATGCCTGTATATGCAGATGGCGATACAACTGCCGCAATGAATTTTCAATGATTGGAACACACTTGCAGACCGGTTTCGGGCTGTTTAGCCACTCGTCAGTGCAAGGTAGTGTCTATGATCGACATAAAGTCTATATATGTGAAAAGTTTCCTTTCCTTATACGAGGAATTGGGCAAATTTCAGATATGCGGTTGGTTATCCCGTTCACAGGCAGATGGGGTGATGACAAATCTGTTGGTTGTTGTCCGCTTCAGCCCAGTTCAAGGAATGATACTCTGAAGGAATTCGATTTTCAATTATCGGAAAAATGATTCATAGGTGATGAATATAAGTCAATAAATGTAACAAACAAACGATATTCTATTTTTCAATATTTAGACCAAAAGGAAATAACTACGAGAACCCTCAAACTGTATGAAATGAAAAGTGTACATAATAGTTGTTATACTTCTTTCAATGGGATGTATTGCCTCCCCTAGCCCTTCTGCAGGCTTTCACACGTCGACCCATGCTGTCGATGAGGTTGTTGATAACATGCAGATAAACATTGTTCCACTCTTATAAAATAGCATTTCGAAACGGTTCTGAGCTGTCAGGTGGATCATTTCTGGTATGCTTCCTCCACGAAATGTAATCCAGAACATGCTCTATCGGATTCATGTCTCGTGAGTTCGGTAGTCAATCAATCCTTGCATTTCCTACTTCTACCAGAGCGTTTTGCACAGCCACTGTTCGATGTGGTGGGCATTAACAAATTGCTGGAATTGGAAATTTTTTTAGAAGAAAACAAGTGTGACATATTTTGTGTGTCTGAGCATTGGGCTCGTGACAATCAGGTTTCATCTCTTAGATTAGATGGTTTTAAAAATGCTAATTTTTCTTGTAGAACAAAATCATTGCATGGAGGAGTAGGCATTTATGTTAGAAATAATATAAATTTCGAAACAGTGAAAACCAAATCTGTTGAAATAGATTTTGAAGTTACAGCAATTAGATGTGATTTAGGTGTATTGAACAATTGTAAGTTGAATACTTTAGTAATAGTAGTTTATAGGAGTCCAAATGGGATCTTTGACATTTTTCTAAATAATCTTGAGGAAACGATTAAGAACTTAATAGAAAAATATAAAAATCCTAATCTCATACTGTGTGGAGATTTCAATATAAATTTTATAGATGAATCCAAAAACCTCAGCTCCTTAAGAGATCTTCTTAGTTCATATAATATCTCATCAACCATCAACACTCCAACATGAGCAAGTAATTGTCTGGATAATATTTGCACGAATATTGACATAGGTTTATATAATAGCAAGGTGGTTGATAATTACCTCAGTGATCATCAAAATGCCCAACTAATTCATATTGACATTAATTCTGATGAAGCCATTCAAACAACACCCCTGCACCAATTTAGAGATCTTAATAACCAGTACAATNTTTTTATTATTGACTTGTTCTATGTCATCATGTTATGATCGTTATGAACGAATAAATATTATTATTATTATTATTATTATCATCCATAAATACGATATCATTACCTATGCCGTCTCGGAAACACATCCAAAATGACATTTTGAAGGTAAAATTTCCCCGTCATTGTCCTAGAAACAATTATCAGTTGTTTTCGTGTTCCATAGATGGTACAAACCCACACCATAATGCTTCCACGTTGATTTGGATTGATATTCAAACGCAAATTCAGTCGACGCTGATATCCTGTTGGTCTCCAAACATGAATGCGGTAACCATTATTCATAAGCCCAAAACGGCTCTCATCGGAAGACATGGTATTTCGCCACTGACATTGCTTCCATTGTGAATGGGTTCTTGACCAGTTCAATCGTCTTCGTCTGTGTGCGGCATTTATTCTCGGTGTCCATAAAAGTATGAAGACGCTTACGAATCGTGCGGCTTCACAAATTGATGCCATTCGTTCTTTGGAAATGTCTTTGGAAATGTCTTCTATAGCCTTGTGCTGTTTCAAAGGGGTGCCTGTGTTCATACTGCAACAGGTACCAATTCTGACGGTGTGTTGTCCATCTTCTCCGACCGCTTCGGTGCATTTCGTGAACATGTCCACATTCTTATATTACCTTAGAAACCGTGCTCTGGATAAAACTTAGTTCTCTTGTTATATGCTATTGTGTCCACCCTTGCTGGTGCAAAGTTACAATTCTCATACAGTATTCTTCACATAAACGTGCACCAGACATTACACATGAATTACTTACATTATATTATCATATACGATTTGAAAATTCACTGATTTGAAGTTCTTCATTCGAAAACTTTTATATAACCGTGGACATGGTTTCTTGTAGTCTGTAAGAAAACATGAATGCGGTGGGCTATATGTAAAATATCTCTTTTCCCCTGCTCAGATTTTGTGATAACCGATCCTAAGAGAGATGATATACTTCATTCATAAAAACGTGGTTTTTCATAAATTTCGGGACTAATGAACTACTTAAACCAACAAACATCCATTTTTATATATCAGAAGATTAGACAGCACCACGAAACATTGTCAACCACCTTCAAATGAAATATATAGAATTTTATAGTATTTTTCGGTTTTTGAGATCAGCACACAACAGCACAAACAAACAGCGATTATTGATAAATTGATATTTATTATTATTCATGGTAATTCTTGCTTCATTTTTGAAAACAATAGATTATTTCGAATATATTTCTTATAGGTAGAACTATCGATGATTTGAGCAACCGTGTACAAATTGGAAACTGCAAAAAACCGCCTTGCAGGCTTAGGAAAGACACTAACGTGGCAGTGCAGATAAAATTCAAACCAGGTAAGGTGCATTTTGATTTTGCTTGTTTTTATTTTTCATTATCGTGTTATTCCACCATGTAGGTTGCTTTTGATTGAGTTTGTATGATGTTTGGCGGGAAGAATTATTCTCTAGGGTAATAGTAAGTAATAATGAAAATTGAATTGAATTGAATTTTTTCCTGCAGTAGACACAGTTTCAGGTGAACCAACAGGTTTATCTTTAATCCGTGACAGAAGAACATGAGATTCAGGATATGAATGGGATATTTTTTTACTATTGGAAATTAAGTTTCATAAATATTTCTCCACTCAATAAATAACTTCAATTCAAACTTCACAAGATAGTATCAAGGATCGGGCAATATACGAGGTCTGTTAAAGAAATAAGGTAGATGTTTCAATTTTGCGCGCCACGTACATTCGATTCGCGATTTTTTTAATTTTTACATGTTGGTACACTCATCTTGTACATATGTTCACAGTTCCAGATATTTAGCATGTTTAGTTGATGAGAGGCTTAAAGTTAAAAGTATTTTGTGTGTTCGGCAATTTTCTGCTAGCGAAAAAAATGCATCAAAGATTCTGCATCAAATTTTGGGTAAAAAATTGAATTAGGTGCTCAAAACACCCGGATTGTTGACGGTGGATAACGGTGATTGTAGTCTGAAATTTATTTTTTACAAGTGGTACAAGTTTTCATAGTAGGTAGAGAAGATGTAATGTAAATGACGACGATCAGCCAGGATGCCCCAGCACCGATGAAAATGTTGAGAAAGTGAAGAAAATTGTTATGGAGAATCGTTGAATCACTATTAAAGAAGTTGCTGAGGATGTGGGCATATTGGTTGACTCATGCCTTGCAAGTTTTTCGGTAGGGTGTGAAGCGTGTGGCAGCAAAGTTTGTTCCAAAATTTGCTAAATTTTGACCAAAAAACCGTCGCATGAGCATCGCTCAGTATTTGTTGAATGATGTCAACGGCGATTCAGTTTTTCGTAAAAGGGTCATAACTGGTGAGGAACCATGGGTATATGGTTATGACATCGGAACCAAAGACCAATCGCTCAGGAGAGTAAAGACCAAAATAGCAATTCAAGTTCGATCAAATGTCAAGGTTTTTCTCACTGTTTTTTTCGAATACCGTGGCGTTATGCACCAGGAGTCCTTGCAACGTGGTCGTGTGGTCAATAAGGAGTATTGTCTTGAGGTTATGCTCTGCTCGCGAGGAGCAATACGAAGAAAATGTCCGGTACCTATTATGGAAAAACAATTCATGACTTTTATTTACTCGTTTGTATTTTTTTGGGCAAAAGCAACATGCCTCAGTCACCGTTTCCATCAAATTTGGCCCTATGACTTTTTCTGTTACCGAGATTGAAGAAAATCGAATCGTTGATGAAGCTCAAGGACATTAGTCTGGGTTACAAGAACTTTTTTTTGGAACTTCTGTCCAAGGGCACCGAAAATTATGATGGAGAACTCATTCGATTCGGAATGACCTCTAGAAACTTTTTAAAACATCTCAAGAGGGGCTCAAAAAATTGCAAAAGTTGTAAAAAAGGGGGGGGTTGGTTTTTTGCAAATATCTCGGAAAATATCAAAGGATCCTTGAAGAGGAGGAATTTACAAAAAAAATCCACCTTTCGAAACTCCATCACTAATATTTATAATTTCAATTCAGAGACGAAAATAGCGCTAAAAGTGGGCGATGCGCGTCCCACAAGCGCTGACCCGTGACAATTTCTTTAGATATACTTCAGTCAATAAATTAATTTTTACAAGTTTGAAATTTACATAAAAACCCTGATAATTTTTTAACTAAAAACCTCACATTTTTTTCTACCTCGTTAATGATAATCAAAGACGTTGAAAAGTGAAGAATTCAAAAAAAGTCCAAGTACGTTCAAGTGAAAGATACTCACATTGGCATCGTCAGAAGTTTTGAAATTTTGCTTCACAATACTGTTATCATGATGTTTCGACAGGTATTCTTTTTTTCTTGAGAAAAAACCTCCTAATATGTGCTCCCATGGGCCAGACAGATTCGTCCCAAGCTTTATCAAGATTGCACTGATTTATACAAACCTCAAAGGAGAAGTACAGCTGTGGGAACATCGAATTGATTTTTTCGATTTGGGCTTCAGGAAAAGAGTCCTTCATATCCTGAAGAAGTTCCTCAGATGTGGTGGAAGGTTTCAATTTGTACATACAGGTATTAGCAATTCCTGCAGAGGAACAGTTCTGCGATTTTCCTACAATTGGTTTATTCGAACCTCAGAAATGTTTTCTCTCTTTTTTCGGACTGTATGAATTTTTGAGATTCGATATTAGATTCAGCTTCGTGCAATGCAGAGGCTACCTGTTCTCTAGATATCAACGGTATTTAATTTGTGGAAATTTCTTTGACAGAATTATGTGTTATGGTGTTCATTCTTTTCTTATGATGGGATACATGTTCCCATTTTTCGACATAGATGTTTCCATTAGTAGGTGTTTGATGGTCACCATCCAAGATGGTGTGGTTATCACTTGGTAGATTTGCGTTGATAACTTCTGGATTCGAATGAGGAACATTGCTTTCCAAAACACCAATCTTAAAACTCATGAGCTTGATCCTTTCAGACATATGTTCAACCATTTGTCTCAATAACACTACTTATTTCCGTAGTTCACTACACCTCAAATCCGAGCAATTGGCACTACCCAAAATTGTCTCTACCGACGAATTGTATGAGTCCAAATCTATGTTCTCGGAATGAACTTCACTGCCGGTGACTGATTCAGAACATTTAAGACATGATAAAATCATAACTTTTTCATCAATAGTTATGCCATTTCCATATTTGATATGTAGTGGAAGTTTACACAGTTCACATACACTACTAATCTTTAATTTGTCGTTGCAATTACTGCAGTTTTTGAGTAAATCTTTGGGAGCAGTTGTCAACTCCTGCTTATCGTTCGCCATGTTAGCACTGGAGACTATACTAAGGTATTTCATCAGTTCGGACTTCCATTGTCTAATATAATATAAATTGATTTGGAATCCCTGAAAAAAAAAAGGTTAACCGAAAATAACAATTTTATCAAAACAAAAAACTGAAATTATGAGGAAATAACATACAAGCTATAACCAGAAAATAAAAAATTGAAATATTAATAAAAGCTGAAAATTAAAAAAAATATTATTAACAAAAATGAAAAATAAAAATTAAAAGATTCCAAACCACGTTACGTCACGACGTTTCGATTGTTAGTATCCACAATCATCTTCGGTGATAACTGGACTTATTCCTCCGAGATCTGACTATTAATAGGTCATTCGGATGCTTTCACCTTTCACCTATCCCCTCTTTCCTCTTTCCGCTTCAATGGTTTCAGCGGGAGATGACCGTTTGGCATGAGTTGGTTGTTTTTCGCTTGATAAAAGGTTTCACATGTTACGTATCTCTACCTAGCTTGACTAAATGCGTTGTTGGACAACATATACGCGGCTTCCTTGAATTTCCTCTAAACCAGTGTTCCTCTTTGTGGATGATTTCAGCTTGAGCCCATTTGATATTATGTTGATAAGTCCAAACATGCTCTGCTATTTCAGATTTACTGGTTTCTCCTCGCTGTGTGTGTTTCTTGTACTCAGTAATGCGAACTTTTAATGGCCTCTTAGTTTCACCGATGTATGATTCTCCGCACTGACAGGGTATCCGGTAAATGCAATTCTTGGAATCGCAGTCCGCGTTTGGTGGCCTGGTTTTTGTGAGGCTGCTACGGATAGTATTCCCAGATCTGAAACAGGTCCCAATGTTATAATCCTTCTTATCCTTTCCGATTATCTTCTGATGTAGGGAAGTACAAGTACTGGTTGTGGCGGCTTCTCTTCCTTGTGAAGCTCTTGCTGTCTTCTAGCTAAAGCCTGTTCTACCATCACTCTGAAGTAACCATTCCGTTGAAGGTCATTTTTGATGATGCCTATTTCTTTTTCGAGACCTTCCTTTGTATTACAGAGCTCGAAAGCAACGTCTGCTAGAGTCTTGATGATTCCTCTCTTAGTCGATTGATGGTGGTTGGATTTCTGGTTCAGATACTGCTTTTATCAATATTTCAATTTTTTATTTTCTGGTTGTAGCTTGTATGTTATTTCCTTGTAATTTCAGTTTTTTGTTCTAATGAAATTTTTATTTTCGGTTATTCTTTTAATTTCCTTCAGGGATTTCAAATCAATTTATATTATATTAGACAATAGAAGTCCGAACTGATGAAATACCACGAAACATTGTAAAAATTAAAAAAATCTTGTATGTTCGTTGGATCGTAATGATGTATTATGAAACTTGTTTTTTGGAAATTATGACCTTGAAACTCGAAATTTTGATTTCAGTTTCGAAATTTCCGAGTTGTTATTTGGAAGCTACGAGATAAAAGTCGAAATTTCGGGTATGTATCCGTAATTTAGTGATTAACGTTGAAATTTCGAGTCTCAAAGTACAGTGTCATCCCCAAAGTATGCACCATATGGGAAACTTATTTATTAAGGGTTTTACGACAAGAAGTTATTCCTAATAGAAATTTGTGCATTCCCTAAAACTAAACATGCACCAACAAACTACAGTAAATCACACGTAATATACGAGGAGCCTTCTAATATTTGATTTCGAAACAGGAGTAAAGCACTAGAGGATTTTTGTAAATTGAACCGGTGAGGTCTCAAAAGATTAGCTTCACAAAAGTGTCTGATATATAAAGATAGATGGTACCGTCATAATGCCTAGTCTTCTGAAAAATGGCCTGCATGAATCACGGAAACCTACGTTCAAAATAATTCTGATTGCACGCTTTTGAAGCGTAAAAACATTTCTGACAGAAAATTGATATTAAAATCACCCAGCAGAATGACTTTTTCGTTTTTTTTGAGATAGATATCAGAAGTTCCTCTTAAAGAAAATGGTGCAATTCGCTATACAAGCTGATCTGTATAGCGAGATTACGGCAATTTTTAAAATGCTCAGTTCAATCCCACATAC